TAACGATCGGATTGATCGAACGAATGAGATAAAACAGTTAGAAAATTGCAACGATCGGATTGACCGAACGAGTGAGATAAAACGACTAAAAAGTCGCAACAATCGAATTGACTAAACGAATGAGATAAAATGGTTAAGAAACCGCAACAATCGGATTGACTGAACGAATAAGATAAAACGGTTAGAAAATCGCAACGATCGGATTGATCGAACGAATGAGATAAAACGGCTAAATAGCCACAACGATCAGATTGACCGAATGAATAAGATAAAATGGCTAAAAAGCCACAACGATTGGATTGACCGATTGAGTAAGATAAAACTGCTAAAAAGTCGCAACGATCAGATTGATCAAATGAATGAGACAAAACGGTTAAGAAACCGCAACGATCGAATTGACTGAACGAATGAGAGAAGACGGTTAGAAAACCACAACGATCAGATTAACTAAACGAATGAGAGAAAACAGTTAGAAAACCGCAACGATTGGATTGGCCAAACGAATTAAAGAAAACAATTAGAAAACCACAACGATTGGATTGATCGAATGAATGGGATAAAACGGCTAGCAAACCACAACGATCAAATTAACTAAACAAATGAAAGAAGACGGTTAAAAAACTGCAACAATCGAATTAATCGAACAAATGAGAAAAAACAGTTAGAAAACCGCAACGATCGGATTAACCGAACGAATGAGAGAAAATGGTTAGAAAGCCACAACGATCAGATTGATCAAGCGAATGAGAGAAGATGGTTAAAAAACCACAACGATCGGATTAACCGAACGAATGACATAAAACGACTAAAGAATCGTAACGATCAGATTAACCGAATGAATGAGACAAAATGGTTAAGAAATTGCAACGATCGGATTGACCGAACGAATGAGATAAAACGACTAAAAAGTCGCAACGATCGGATTAACCGAATGGATGAGATAAAATAGCTAGAAAACTGCAACAATCGGGGTGACCGAACGAATGAGAGAAAACGGTTAGAAAACCACAACAATCAGATTTACCGAACGAATGGGATAAAACGGCTAGAAAACTACAACGATTGGATTTACCGAACGAATGAGAGAAGACGGTTAGAAAACCGTAATGATCGAATGAACCAAACAAATGAGAGAAAACTGTTAGAAAACCACAACGATTGGATTGACCAAACGAATGAGAAAAAATGACTAAAAAGCCACAATGATCGGATTAATCGAACAGATGAGATAAAACAGTTAGAAACCACAATGATCGGATTGGCCGAACGAATGAGAGAAGATGGTTAGAAAATCGCAACGATCAGATTAATGAAATGAATGAGAGAAAATGATTAGAAAACTACAACGATCAGATTGACCGAATGAATGGGATAAAAAGGCTAGAAATTCGCAACGATTAGATTGACCGAACGAATGAGATAAGACGGTTAGAAAACCGCAACGATTGGATTAATCGAACGAATGAGATAAAATAGTTAAAAAATTGCAACGATTGGATTGACTGAACGAATGAGAGAAGACAGTTAGAAAACCACAATGATCGAATTAACCAAACGAATGAGATAAAACGGTTAAGAAACCGCAACGATTGGATTCATCGAACGAATGAGATAAAACGGCTAGAAAACCATAATGATCGGATTGACCGAACGAATGAGCTAAAATGACTAAAATGCCGTAATGATCGGATTGACTGAACGAATGAGACAAAATGGTTAAGAAATCGCAACGATCGGATTAACAAAACGAATGAGATAAAACGATTAAAAAACCACAACGATCAGAGTGACCGAACGAATGAGATAAAACGGCTAGAAAACCGTAATGATCGGATTGACCGAACGAATGAGATAAAATAGTTAGAAAACCGCAACAATTGGATTGACTGAATGATTGAGATAAAACGGTTAGAAAACCGCAATGATCGGATTGATTGAACGAATGAGATAAAATGGCTAAAAAGGCACAATGATTGGATTGGCCGCATGAACAAGATAAAATGGGTAAAAAGCCACAACGATCGGATTGACCAATTGAGAGAGATAAAACTGCTAAAAAGTCGCAACGATCGGATTGACCAAATGAATGAGAGAAAACGATTAAGAAACCGCAACGATCAGATTGACCAAACGAATGAGATAAAACGATTAAACAGTCGCAACGATCGGATTGACCGAATGAATGAGACAAAATGGTTAAGAAACCGCAACGGCCGTATTAACCGAACGAATGAGATAAAACGACTAAAAAGTCGCAACGATCGGATTAACCGAACGGATGAGATAAAATAGCTAGAAAACTGCAACAATCGGGGTGACTGAACGAATGAGAAAAAACGGTTAAAAAACCGCAACGATCGGATTAACCGAACAAATGAGAGAAATTGGCTAGAAAACAACAACAATTGGATTGATCGAATGAATGAGAGAAGATGGTTAGAAAAACGCAACAATCAGATTGACCAAATGAATGAGAGAAGACGGTTAGAAAATTGCAACGATCGGATTAACTGAACGAATGAAAGAAAACGGTTAGAAAACCGCAACAATCAGATTGATCGAACGAATGAGATAAAATGACTAAAAAGTCACAACAATCGGATTAACCAAACGGATGAGGTAAAACGGCTAGAAAATCGCAATGATCGAGGTGACCGTACGACTAAGAGAAAACGGTTAGAAAACCACAGTGATCGAATTAATTGAACAAATGAGAGAAGACAGTTAGAAAACCGCAACAATCGGATAAACCAAACGAATGATATAAAACGGCTAAAAAGCCACAACGATCAAATTGATCGAACGAATGAGATAAAATGGTTAGAAAATCGCACCGATCGAATTGACTGAACGAATGAGAGAAGACGGTTAGAAAACCACAACGATTGGATTAACCGAACGAATAAGAGAAAACAGTTAGAAAATCGCAACGATCGGATTGACTGAACGAATTAGAGAAAACAGTTAGAAAATCACAATGATTAGATTGACCGAATGAATAGGATAAAACAGCTAGCAAAGCACAACGATCAGATTGGCTAAACGAATGAGAGAAGACGGTTAGAAAACCGCAACGATCGAATTAACCAACAAATGAGAGAAAATGGTTAAAAAACCGCAACGATTGGATTAACTGAACAAATGAGATGAAACAGTTACAAAACCACAACGATCGAATTGACTGAACGAATGTGAGAAGATAGTTAGAAAACTACAACGATCGGATTAACTGAACGAATGAGAGAAAACAGTTAGAAAACCGCAACGATCGGATTGGCCGAACGAATTAGAGAAAATGGTTAGAAAACCACAACAATTGGATTGACCGAATGAATGGGACAAAACGGCTAGCAAACCACAACGATCAGATTAACTGAACGAATGAAAGAAGACGGTTAGAAAACTGCAACAATCGAATTAATCGAACAAATGAGAGAAAACGGTTAGAAAACCACAATGATCGGATTAACCGAACGAATGAGAGAAAACGGTTAGAAAGCCACAATGATCAGATTGACCGACCGAATGAGAGAAGACGGTTAAAAAACCACAACGATCAGATTAACCGAACGAATGAGATAAAACGACTAAAGAGTCGCAACGATCGGATTGACGAATGAATGAGACAAAACAGTTAAGAAACCGCAACGATCGGATTGACCGAACGAATGAGATAAAACGACTAAAAAGTCGCAACTATCAGATTAACAGAACGGATGAGATAAAATAGCTAGAAAACCGCAACAATCGGGGTGACCGAACGAATGAGAAAAAACGGTTAAAAAACCACAACGATCAGATTAACCGAACAAATGAGAGAAAATGGCTAAAAAACCGCAACTATTGGATTTACCGAACGAATGAGAGAAGACAGTTAGAAAACCGTAATGATTGAATTAACCAAACAAACGAGAGAAAACGGTTACAAAACCGCAATGATCGAATTGACCGAACGAATGAGAAAAAATGACTAAAAAACCACAACGATCAGATTAATCGAACAGATGAGATAAAACAGTTAGAAAACCGCAAGGATCAGATTGACCGAATAAATGAGAGAAGACGGTTAGAAAATCGAAACGATCAGTTTAATCGAACGAATGAGAGAAAATGATTAGAAAACTGCAACGATCAGATTGACCGAATGAATGGGATAAAAAGGCTAGAAAATCGCAATGATCGGATTGACCGAACGAATGAGAGAAGACGGTTAGAAAACCACAATGATTGGATTAATCGAACGAATGAGATAAAATAGTTAAAAATCCGCAACGATTGGATTGACTTAACGAATGAGAGAAGACGGTTAGTAAACCACAACGATTAGATTAACCGAACGAATAAGATAAAACGGTTAAGAAACCGCAATGATCGAATTAACCGAACGAATGAGACAAAACGGTTAAGAAACGATCGGATTAACAGAACGAATGAAATAAAACGGTTAAGAAACCACAATGATCAGAGTGACCGAACGAATGAGATAAAACGGCTAAGAAACCATAATGATCGAATTGACCGAACGAATGGGATAAAACAGTTAGAAAACCGCAACGATCGGATTAACTAAACGAAAGAGATAAAATGGTCAAATGACCGAGCAAGTTGGGTTGCAATTGTCAAATGACCGAGCAAGTTGAATTAAGATGGTTATATAACCACAACAGTCGAATGACTGAAAAAGTAAAGTATTAGTATGGTCGAATGATTGGAACAGTAGAATATGACTATGGTCGAATGACCAGAAGAAGTCGAGTAACAGTATGGTCGAATGACCAAAAAAGTAGAGTATCTGGGCCTAATGAGTGTAAAATGCAACAACAAGGCTAGATGAAAATAATGATTAAAAGATCCATAGCCATAAAACATATGCAAGTGAAACAATCTTCATATATAAGATAAAGTCGAAATGAAAGAAGGTTAAGAAACTTTCCTGAACATGTTGGATGTCCATATTTGACAAGAGTCCTGTGTCTTTCATGTTGCACATTCATCAATCAGTGATTATCCCTATGTAGCAGCTCGGTAGATTCACATTTGTGAATACCCTATGGAATGCCAAAAGTAAAATCTCATTTGCTTCTCATGAAGAGATATTTGAAAATATTGCCCTAATAAGTTAAACTTTCATTTGCTATTCATTTGCTATTGGAATTTCCGCTAGCATGGATGACTTCTTATCTATCGAATTCAGCTTCCTTTCTCCCTATAATTCTCATCCCACCTTTCAAATTCATCAAGAGATTTTGATTAGATAAACAAATATATTAACTGAAATAGAGCCTCATGCTCAATTGGCATTCCCAATACTGAATAAAATGTAAGGTTGGAATAAAGTGCGAACATAATGATTGCAAAGATTTATTTCATTAGATTCAACCAAGGTTAGGATGATCAAAAGGTCAACTTTGGATAGTGACAAAAGAAGTCTAGCCAATAATACAAGATTTTGATGCAACTCATTACAAGATATTCAGATCATAAATCGTTGTTTCAGATCATCTTTTCTTTGCAACTTTGCCCCTCAGTTCTTTAGTCCATGAGAGAGAGTCTCATTCCTTTTCTGAATATTGACACTTCAAATCTTTCCCTTTTCATGAACTAACTCTCATGCTCAGAATAAGGAAGTTTCCAACTACCATTGTCTAGAGCCTTGCTGTTTCTTCTTTCTTTCTTTCTTTCTTTTCTTTTTTTTGTGTCCTTGAAGAAAGAAAGCTTTAAACCATCAGATAAGGACTTTTATATGGGCTTGTAACGTGGCTTGGGGTTAGGTTACGATGAAAGAAAGGATAAAGGCTCAAAATCCATATGTTCCCTTCACATCTCTCTCCTCACTTTCCCAGTCATTAATATGGGTTAATAGAAAGAAAATCATTCTGGCTTTTGTAAATTTGAATGATTGCCTTTTTCTGGATCAAAAGGGGTAAGCAAAAGGGTAATGTTCAACTGTTTAGGGTAGAGAAACAAGGCCTTTCATCACTGGATTTTTAACTTTCCAAGTCAAGGAAACATTTAATTTGTTTAACCGCCTTTTTGGGTTTTCAACCTAATTTTTTTTCTTTTTTAGCAATAATACGTTTTGATAGCATTGGCATTCACTGGGTGATGATAATTAGTTCCATCTGAATATCTCAACAAGAGTGCTCCTTCGAAGAAAGCTTCTTTAACAACATAGGGCCCTTCATAATTCAGTGCGAATTTGCTGCTAGGGTCCCTTTCATTTGGCATGATCTTTCTTAAGGTGAAATCTCCTTGATGAAATACTCTAGGTTTGACTTTCTTGTTGTAAGCTGCTGCAATTTGTCGCTGATAGCATTGACCGTGACAAAGAGCTGCCTATCTTTTCTCATCAAGCAAGTTAAGGTGATCTATCCTTTTCTGAATCAAATCTTCTTCCTCAATCCTCGACTTGGATAAACTTCTCATGGAAGGAATTTCTAGCTCAATTGGTAGTACTACCTCCATTCCATATACCAACGAATAAGGGGTTGCCCCAGTTGAAGTGCGAATAGAGGTTCTATAAGCATGGAGAGCATATGGCAACATTTCATGCCAATCTTTGTAAGTAACTATCATTTTAGCTAGAATCTTCTTGATATTCTTGTTGGGAACTTCCACTGCACCATTCATCTTTGGTTGGTATGGAGAAGAGTTCAAATGCTTGATCTTGAATTGCTTGCATAGCACAGTAATCATGTCATTGTTCAAATTGCTTGCATTATTAGTAATGATGGCCTCTAGCTGCCTATATCTGCAGATGATCTCTCTCTTGATGAAGCAAGTGACCACCTTTTTTGTAACACTAGCGTAAGACGCTGCTTCTACCCATTTGGTAAAATAATCAATAGCAACCAAGATAAATTGATGACCATTGGAAGCTTTAGGATTAATTTCCCCAATCACATCGATGCCCCACATGGAGAACGGCCAAGGAGCAGACATATTATGCAGTAATAAAGGTGGAGCATTAATATGATCAGCATAAATCTGACATTTGTGACAAGCCCGTGCATATTTGATGCAGTCATGTTCCATAGTCAACCAATAATACCCAGCCTGGAGAAATTTTCTAGCAAGCATTCTTCCATTTGCATGTGTCCCACATATCCCTTCATGGACCTCAATCATGACTTGTTTTGCTTATGTCTCATCAACACATCTCAATAAGGTCATATTAGCAGAGCGCTTATACAATGTATTTCCGCTCAAGAAGTATGAAGCTGCCAATTTTCTAATTGTCTTCTTATTCACCTCAGAAGCATGTAGAGGGTATTCCCCATTTTGCAAGAACTGTTTAATATCATGAAACCATGGTTTGTCATCAACCTTGATTTCCATGCAATGTGCCGATTCTCGACTAATTTCAATCCTTAAAGGCTTGATTGCAACATCATTGGAGATTTGGATCATGGAGGCTAAAGTAGCCAAAGCATCTGCGAATTGGTTCTCGACATGGGGCATATGGTTTAAAGAGATGAATCTAAATTTCTTGATGAAAGTTTCAAGATATTGGTGATAAGGAATAAGTTTTGGGTCCTTAGTTTGCCAATCACCATATATCTCCAAATCTCGAACATTCATATCCAAAGCAGCATGTATTCCTGCAATACAAGCTTCATATTCGGCTATGCTGTTGGTACAAGAAAAATCAAGCTTTATAGTAATAGGAAAATGATCACCCTTTGGGGATACCAACACGGCTCCAAGGCCACAACCAAGCTGGTTATCAGCTCCATCAAAGAAGAGCTTCCGATTATCTGAATCAGATTTTGCCTCCACTACCAAAATGTCCTCATCAAGAAAATCCCAATCAATAGGCTCATAATCCTCTGTCACATGTTCAACTAAGTGATCTGCAATGGCTTGCCCTTTGATGGCTTTTTGTGTTGTGTAAACAATATCAAATTTGGAAAGCAGCATACGCCATCGAGAGATTCTTCCAGAAAGGGTAGGTTTTTCAAAAATGAATTTTATGGGATCCATTCTTGAAAGTAGGTAAGTGGTGTTGGTTAACATGTAGTGGCGAAGTTTCTTGGATGTCCAAGCTAAGGCACAACAAGTTTTTTCTAAGGGTGAGTATTTACTTTCACAATCATTGAACTTCTTGCTCACATAATAGATGGCTCTTTCTTTCTTGCCTGAGTCATCATGTTAGACAATGACTACTTTCATGGATTCTTCAAGGACAGTGATATATAGGATGAAAGGCCTTTTATCAGTTGATGGCACAAGGATTGGTGGGTTTTTGAGGTATTCTTTGATTTTGTCAAAGGCTTGCTGGCATTGGGCATTCCAAGTATAAGAGTTGTCTTTTCTAAGGAGTTTGAAAATAGGCTCACAAATGGTGGTGAGGTTGGCAATGAAATAGGCAATGTAGTTAATTCTTCCCAAGAAACCTCGGACTTTTTTTTGGGTTTTTGGTGGTAGCATTTCATCAATGGCTTTTATTTTGGCTGGATCAATCTCTATTCCTCGATGGCTCACAATGAAGCCAAGTAGCTTTCCAGAATCCACATCAAAAGTACACTTGGTAGGATTGAGTCTCAGTTGGCATTTTCTAAGGCGTTCAAACACCTTCTTGAGATTTTCTGTATGTAGCACCTCTTCTTTGGACATAATCACCATGTCATCGACATATGGCTCAACAATGGTATGAACAAAGTCATGTAATAAAGTAATCACAAAGTGTTGGTATGTTGCCCTAGCATTTTTGAGTCCAAAAGGCATAACTTTTTAGCAAAAGGTACCCCATTGAATGATGAATGTTGTCTTGAGCTTGTCCTCCTCCTTCATTTTTATCTGATTGTACCCAGAGTAGCCATCAACAAAAGAAAACCAAGCATTTTTTGCAACACTATCTAGCAGAATTTGGATATGAGGCAATGGGAAATCATCCTTGGGGCTTGCTTTGTTCAAGTCTCTATAATCCACACAAACTCTAACTCAACCATCCTTTTTCATTACATGAACAATATTGGCCACCCATCCCGGATACAAAACTACTTCAATGAAATTGATGTCTAGCAGCTTTTGCACTTCTTCTTTGACTTTCAATAGAACCTCTGGCTTCATCCTTCTTAGCTTTTGCTTGACCGACTTGGCCTCATAATAGAGTAGAATGGCATGCACAGCAATATCAGGATCAAGTCTCGGCATGTCCTTGTAGGACCAAGCAAAAACGTCTTGAAATTCAGATAAGAGTTCTATCAACTCTTTTCTCTCCTCTATGGATAGGTGGGCATTGATTTTTATCTCTTTTTTGTCATATTCAGTACCGAGATTAATAGTCTCAGTCTCTTGATTTGGCTACAGCTTTGGTTTTTCTTCTCTTAGCATTTGCGTTAGTTCATGAAAAGGATCAAAATTGTCATTGCTTCTTCATTATAGGTCTGATCATCAATCTCATATATAAACCCTGATGTGGCATCATTGTTTAAATATTCATCATTAGCAAGCTTGAAAATTATAGATGGAAGTAAATAAATGACCAAATCATAATGAAGCAAAGATAAAAGCATGTTATTGGACAACCTCATAAAACATATCATTAAAGAGTGGCTTGTACAATGATAGTTCAAGTAAAGTTGCATCATGATGATTTTTACAATGAGAGGTAGGATTGCAACATGTTTCATTGAAAAGGAAAGCATGGGAATAGTAGAGGCATGATAACATAAATTTCAGAAAATATAAAAGTGCTTGCTGAATCCCTTCCTTCATGTAGTCACAAGCAGAACTACTAGAGGCTGACTCTTCTTACTCAGAGATGAAAGCTACAGGGAGAAGCTCCATTGTCCAATTAGCCTAAGAGCTTCCATTAACCGGAGAAATTGCCCTATCAAATTCAAGTTGTTCCTCATTTAAAGCATTTATAGTCAAATTTCCCCACAAGTCACATAGCGATTCTTCTTTCACAGACTCATATGAACCCACTAGAGCTTTCACATGATGAACAAGATGGAAGTTGGGATGCTTCTCCATAAATGCCCTTTCAACGAGTATTCTTCTCCACCTCTCCTTAGGATCTGTCATTTTGGCTGGCCCAAAGAGGTTGTTGAAACCAAAACTGTTTTCCTCGTCATCAAAACAAACTTCATCTGTGATATCTTCCACAACTACTTCCTCAAACTTTGCTTGTTTTGAACATTCCCCAAGTTTAAGCAATCTATCAGTGAAAATAGTACCCTCTGGATCTACATATAAAACATCCATGCGCTTCACCACATATCCATCAAGAGAAGGGCACAAAATCTCAATAGGTCGTGGAAATGTGACTCTAATGTGCAGCACCCACATTGGTTCATCCCTTGGATCTCTCCCTTGAAGTCTAGTAAGGTGCTTCTCTGCTTTAATAGCACACATTCTTTGCCAATCTTCCTTCTTTGGCTTGTATCCCAAGCCAAAAGTGCCCCATGCTTGAATTACCTTAATAGGCTCAAGAATTCCTTGTCCATTCAATCCCAAACCCTCTCCCAATTGGTCATGATCTTAGCAGCAACCCTGGTAGGTTTAGCCATTTTAGCCCATTTCCCTCTGAACTTTGGATGTATATAAGAAACAGCAACACACTCCATTGAGTGATAAGAGGATTCATAAGTTCCAAGATTAATTCCCAAGTAAGGAATGGTTGTAGCCTTTCGGATGATGTGTTCCTCCTCACCATTCACCGTGACAAGAACACCATTGACAATGTATTTGACTTTCTGATGTAAGGTGGATGGTACTGCTCTGACAACATGTATCCAAGGCCTCCCAAGAAGCATATTAAAAGCAGGAGAAATGTCTATAACAAAGAAATCCACATCAAAAGTCACAGGGCCAATTTCCACTAAAAGCTCAATCTTTCCAACCACATTCATCTTTGTTCTGTCAAAAGCACGAACCATTGTATTATAGTGATTAATGTGAGACTCATCCACTTTCAACTGCTTCAAAACAGTCATAGGAATCACATTCAAAGCTAACCCATTGTTGATCAACACATGAGGCACATTCATCATCTTACATTGGACTGAAATATGGAGAGCTTTAGTATGTCCATTTCCTTCATCGGGAATCTCATCATCAGTGAAATTAATAAAATTTGGAGCTAAGATTGCCCCAACCACAATCCCAAACTTTTGAGTATCAATGTTCTTAGGCACATGGGCCTCTCTTAAGACCTTGAGCAATGCGTCAAGATGAACCTCAGATGACAGCATCAATTCTAAAATAGAAATTTTTGCCAAGGTTTTGTTAAGCTGTTCAATGATGCTATACTCACTCTTCCTCAAAATATTCAAAAATTCTGCAACTTCATTTTCTAACACTAGCTTCTTGGGTGATTTTTCTAGCATCTCTTCAATTTTGATATCTTTTGAGTTCAAGGTAGCTTTTCTCGATTCTTCCACTTTAGGACTCACATAGCACCGACCACTGCGGGTCATATTAGACACATCATTGGTTGTGGAATTCAAGATGGTAGAGCATTAAGGCATAACCACAGATGATGTTTTTCCCATGAGTGACTCACTAAGAGAGGTCTTTAAGACATAAGGCTGACTGATGACTTGTGCTTTTGTAGTATCTTGCAAAATGTAAGGCTTCTCCTTAAAGAAGTATTTTTCGGTCACTGGTGCTATGAATTTCTCTACCTCTTGGGTAGATGTAACCTCAAAACTCCCATTCCTTGCAGCTCTTTGATCTTTCTCTGAAAATCTTTGCAATCTCGCAAAGCATGCCCCTTTATATTGGAATGGTAAGGACATATCATAGCATCATCAATCATCATTGGCAAACATTCAAGCTCTTTTGTGCAATTGGCTGAATTATATCATATTCTATCAAAATGGTAAACAATTCATCAAGAGACCAAGAACCAGTATCCTCCAACATCAGCTTTTCAACTCCATTAAAAGTGATCATATTCATTGTGCCTGCATCATGTGGAGGTAAAGGGTTTTGAGTGATGTTTGGAACACCCTTGGCTTCCTTGACATCAAGTTGAAGTGTACCCTCATCGATGAGATCTTGAATTCTATGTTTCAAAGCTGCACAATTCTCAGTGCCATGACTCGCCACATTGTGATATTCACACCTAGCCTGTGCATCATACCAATACGGATAAGGTGGTTGGATAGGGTTCACTTGTAATGTCTTTATCAAACCAACTTCGACTAACTGCTTCAACACCTCATTGTAAGGGATTGGAAGTTTAGTGAATTGTCTGGGCTAATTTGTAGGTGGGAATTACTGTTTAACTGAAGCTTGAGCATTAAAATTTGGCCTTCTTTGAGAGTAGGGGGTAGGCTTAAAGGTTGAAGCGTATTGCAATTGAGGTTGTCGATTGTAAGGACCATTTTCCACGTTATAAATTGGTTTAGCATGACTAGTGAAAATGTGACTCAAAGCTTCCTTATCTTCTTTCTTCCTTTTAGGTGAGAACCTCCTCGAAGTAGATCTTGAGCTTCCTATCTTGACTTATTGTAACTACCCCTGAATGGTTTTAAAGTCCATAATGATACCTGTCTTCAATCCAACTTCAATTTGTTCCCCTGCTGCCACTAACTGAGCAAAAGTATATCCCATACAAGGGGCTAACCATGCACCAAAGGTCCCGGTAATTGACTTGATAAAGAGAGAGCAAATTTCACTGTCGGTAAGAGGTGGAATGACTTTGGTTGCTTCAGATCTCCACTGTTGAGCAAATTATTTGAAAGTCTCATTACCTTTCTTGGTGATTCTTTGCAAGCTATCCCTTGTAAGGGCCAAACTCATATTATACTCATACTGCTTCATAAAAGCTTGAGAAACATCCTTGAAAGTCTGAATCTTCTTTTTGTCAAGTGTTGAAAACCAAACATTTGCTGAGCTTGAGAGACTGTCTTGAAAATAATGAATGAGCACCTTTTCATCATTAGCATAAGGTGCCATCTTCCTGGCATACATCTACAGGTGGGCATAAGGACAACCTGAGCCATCATACTTGTCAAAATCCGACTGCTTGAACCTGAAATTTGTCTGAATTCCCGGATAGTAGCAAAGATCATCCAAATCAATGGAGCCATAAGGTTACGGCCCTTGCATAACCTTCAAAGCCTCTTCTAACTGTTGTGGCTTGTGATCAACCTCTCTTGACTTACCATCTTCTAAAACAGGCCTTAACATTGCAACCGAGGAATTGGGTTGAATAGTTGGCACTTGTCCCATCAAAGGTGGGTACGTTAAGGGTAAGAGGTGTGGTTGTGGGCAACGTAGGGTTGTTCATCTCGAAAGGTGGGTATAAGGCTTTAAAAGGCAGAGATGATATTTGTGGAGCATGTGAAGATGATTCCCCCACTAGAGGCTGATTCTCATAAATAGGTGGAAATTGCAATTGTGTGACCATGGGATCCTTAGCACGATTACTTGGTGTGATGGTAGGGACAGGTGGAACTGCTATTGTGGGTATTAAGGATGCAATTGAAGAAACTGAACTAGTAGTCAAAGTGGACAAAGTGAGACTGATGATCTGAAGAGTAGCAGCCATAGTTTGCATTGTAGCTTCCAACTTATCAACCTTTTCATCCACAGTTAATTTTTCTGGATTAGTAGCAGCATTTTCCTTGGACATTTTGATTACTCTAGATCTGAGCAAATACGAAGAACACCGTTTTTTGAAGAATTTTCGCCTTGGAGCTATGATTAGAAGACTTTTTACCTAAAGCAAAAACATAAAGAAAAAAAGGAAAAATTAGAAAACTAAAGAGATTTTAGCCCTTTTTGATTGGACCATGAGTTTCCCCTTTGAAGTTCCATATGGATTCCCACATCGGCGTTTCCATCTGGTACGATGATATCCACCCGTATTACAATGAGTTGTGCTAAAACATGACTTTTCATTACTAGATAATCGCACTTTAAACAAAGTTAGCAAGCAGTACAAAGTTGCATTCAAAGTGCTTACAAGTCTTCATTACAGAACATAAACCCTAATACAGCCTTTTAAGCACATTGGACATGTCAATGATAAAGTCGAAGATTGGATGGAAAAATCCCCTCTCAATTGGATGGGTCCTTTGAGCAATGTAATGATGAGTCTCGGCCATTTTTCCCTTGAATTGAGTCACCAAAGCGGTTATGTCGATGACAACTTCATGCAAGCCGGTGTCCTCTTCAACAAGAGCTTGGTTCATTTGCTTCTTAACTTGGAGTTGACAGCACATGTCCTCCATGCAATCTTGTAAAGATCATGGTTGATGGTCATGTCTTGTAGTTACTCTTCCAATTGCTCATTGGCTTTGTGAAGGTGTTCATTATCCTTAGTCAGTTGGTGCAAATAAGAGATGGTTTCTTCATTAAGCCTTTGAGTACGGGCAGAAAACTCCAACAAAGCCTTCTGTGCAGAAGGTTGTGTGTAAGAATCCATATTTCTTTTCAAAGGTCACAGATGGTTCAATCAAAAGGGCTTGAGAACTAAACACAAAGTGGCAAAAATAAAGATATTAATAAGAAAATAATCATGTATAATAAAATGCAAATGTGATATGAGGATTGAGAATTAAAATTTCTATCCTAATCATGGATTTTACTTCATCGAATATACTTTTGACAGGGAAGAAAGATTGCATTCATTCAAACAAGTTTTCATTGACAAATCTGAATTTCTAATGTTTGTACAATAGCTCCCAAGCAACCCATCTTTCCCCAAGTTGCTCAAGTTGTGCTCTCCTTCTCTCCTTACTTTGATTGCTTTGTTGTTCGTAACTCCTTTTGTAGAGCATCATAATCAGACAATAAGTTGTTGTAAGCATTCCTCCACTTTATCACTTTCTCCACAAGCTCTTTATTCTCCTTTTCTTTTGCCTTAAGATCCACCTTTGCTCATAGCAACTTTTTCCGTTGTTCTTCGGCAAACTCTAAACTCCTTTTTTGCTTCCCACAAATTTCCTTGCTAGCAACCAAATCCCTTTCTAAAGAGGCAATCTTGTCTTTCAACCTTGCCACTTGCTGATCAGACAACTCCTTTCCTCTTTTAATCAATTCATGATCAAGAGCTAACTCATCATACTTTTCTAGCAACTGACATCTTTGAGCATGGCTAAGTTCTAACTTAGCGGTTAAGTCCATGATAGTAAAGTTTTTCGTATTTGTCACCTCCCATGGCAAAGAAAGCTTAGCTATCCAACTCGATCTCCATTGTTCATATTGTGGTCTAGTCTTCTCTTTCCATATAGGTAGCATCCTACATTTCTCCCACATCTCATGTGCTTTGGATACAATTGTTGAGGAAGACATGTAATCAAAATGTGACTGCAATGCGTCATCAAGATAGGGAATGCTTTGTGCTTTTCCAAACTGACGAGATGCCAACTCTACTAAATATGTAACCCCTCCATGAATACCCAACAAAGGAATAGAGTGATGTCCTTCGAGTGGAGCAAGATAATGAGTAGCATTCTAGGTTGGGAGAACAAATCTAACATCATTAACAGTTGCTGTTAGAAGTGATTGCTGCCAATCTTCTGTTTTTCTATCTTTCATAGGAACGCTGAATAAAGCTTCAAATTGGGGACCCCTCAAGTGACCATGTGCCCATGTAGTGAACAACTCAATGCAACCCGAGAAGCGGCTGGATCTTTTAGCCCGGATTTCTTTCATAGACCATAAAGTTTCAGCTACCACTATAGAAGCAGGATTAAATGCCGAAGTGTGCAACAATTGCTCAAACAAAGCTACCACCATAGGTGCAATGGTCTTGGCAAAGATAGGGAAGATCACCATGCCATAAACTCCCAATGCCACAAAGTTGATTCTTTGAGAAGATGTCATGCCCTTCAATCTCTTTCCCAAAGCCATTAATGCCGCATTCCAATCGAACCCATAGAATCATCTCTAGTTGTCACCAATGGTTGTGAGAATTCAAATGGAAACCCCCACATAGCTTGCAACATTTCTTGAACTTTTTCTAGTGTGAACTTCATATGTTGTGCTTGAGGAGTGAAGGTAGAAGAATCCACTGTAGGACTACATTGTAGGAAGTGATAATACTCATCAATGGTGGGCACCAACTCAAACTGTGGGAACACAAAAGCTTGATATTGAGGGACATAGAATTTCAACATAGCTTGGAACAAGTTCCAATCCGACACCACTGATAATAGATCCCCGATGCACCCAAATTGGACCTCAAAGTCATGCTTCTCTCTAGAGGACAACAAGCCATAAGCCTCTTTCAGCAGCTTCAAGTCAGGTTTGGAGGTATTGACTGAAAAGATTGACTCCTTAGCCTTTTTAGCAGTAGAATGAGATGTGACATTTTCCCCAAGTCTTTTCCCTTGTCTAGTTGTATCCTCAGTAAAATCCATGTTCAATGCATGATCTTACCTAAACACATGGCTTAAAAGAGTTAAACATAAATTATACCCTCACATGCCATACCTCATTAAGTGTGCAAAAAATAAGCTGTCAGATGCGCAAACGAAGGTTTGTGAAGTAAAATGCCCTTTTTGTGTCTTAAACACAGGACGCCTAGCCTCACGAGTGGGATGCTAAGGGAAACATGTCTTAGGGTTGGTATCTCTTTAAGGCCAATACATGTTTTCCTAAAGGCATTAAGCCTTCTCAACCATTTATCCTTCTAGAATCAATGGGAGATATTTCCAAAAGCTAATACACAGAATGATATTACATCATCAAGTGTCGTATTAACCAATGGAAACAACCTAACAGGAACCAATCTTACTCCTCAAAGCGGGAAGAATTGCTCTTCCAAGCCAAATTCATAAAGATTCCAGACTAGAGGTCGAGTTCACCTTCGACACGGAGCTGATGCAAGATGAGAGTGAGTGTGTGCAAGGGGAATGACACTCCAATAACCTGCACAATGGCAACCACAAAATAGCAACATATATCCCACGACAAGCAAAGAGAATAAGCAAATAAAAACACGTAAAGCACTCAATAGATATAGCACCCACAAACAAACCTACTTACATAGCAGGAAGGAACTCATCAGGTACTCCTGTGCCAAATGCAAAATGTTAGTAACACAAAGAAACCAACACTCAGCATGCAACAAGATATAACTAATTGCACAAGAGGGAAGAGACTCACTGAGTACTCCATAGCAAAGTGTAAAAGGTGAATATATCCACACGCAAGCAAGCAAGCATGTAAGCATGATGCATGATGAATAAGCATGTTATATCAATGATGGATGAGCATGTGAAATGATATGATGCATGAATATGTAAGCAAGGTATGATGCATGTCAAGATGTAGCAAGGTAACTACTCAAAGACAAAAGATCAAAGCAGCCACTAAAACAATGAGCAAACAAGCAACAAGCAACAAGAAACAAGTAACAAGCAACAAGCAACAAGCAACAAAGACTCAAAAAA